TAATATATATATTGGTTATAACATATACTTAACACATTGTTGACATGTGACGAGTTAATTCGTCTTTTCTTGCTTTTAAAGTAGCAAGTAATTTATGGGAGACAGTGGCGTCTGAAAGTCACTTTTCGAGTGTAAAGAGTTATTAATTTGTAACGAATACTTAGAAATCTTGGCGTAAGACATGTTGTCCACGTCATCTTTTAACTCTTCCGAACGGACGAGTCATAAACGCATTCATACATAAATAGAATCAGGATGGAAAAAGAAATTAAAAGCGGTAGCCTAAATGTGGTCATAGTCAACGTGACAGACTTATTTTTACTTTCACTTTTACTCTAATATATTTGCATACAATTAATTTTTCAGGGTTTCCATGACCTGGAAAAAATAAATTAGTGGTAGCTTAGATTTTAAACTACCACCTAAACTACTTTAAACTACCTTAGATTCTACCACCTAACCTCTTCGAGACGGGCGAGTCATATATCCATTTTCAGGGTGGCGACAATTACGGCAAAAAAGATAAAACTGGTAAACTAACTATTTAATGGCAGTTTATTTGTGGGTGGGGTAATTATAGTTTTTTATATTAATATCACCAAGACTTAGTTCGAATTAAAAATTATATGGTTACACTTTCAACAAACACAGATTGGATGTATTAGATTTAAAGTGAAAGCAAAAATAAGGTTGTCAAATTAGCCATGGCCAAACTTAAGCTACTGCTTTTTATTTTTTTCCATCCTGCTTCTGATTCCATACGAATAAATTTATGACTCGCTGTCTCGGGAAGGTTAAAAAAATTTCCATACCATGGGAATCCTTATTTTATTGTTTTATTGAAATTACAAACATTTGCAGGTTTGCGTGCTCAATTTAGGCTTATAAACCTTTGTCAAGAAGAAAGACAGAACAATTCAGAGGAGGACATCACGAAGAATACATCCTGGGTTACGGCGGGATTCGAACTCGTTACCTCCACGCTTTGCACAGCGTTTGGCGGTGATATTACTCATCCAGGGAGGCCCCATGGTGGGAACCTTTTGTTTGTTCAAAATGTAACTATATAATTTTTATTTTGGACTGAGAGGTGAGGAATTGAATAAATATCAAATTATTATCATCCTGTCCACAAAAAAATTTATAAAGAAAAAAATTTGCTAGCAGTTTTATCTTTTTACCCTGATTGTCGACACCTTTGGAATGCGTATATAACTCGCTCGACTTGAAGAGGTTAAGAATTATAAGAGAGTATGGGACATTTCGTTTATAAAGAGTGCTTTCATTCTGTATGTAAGCATTTTCGTCCGAAAAAAAAAATTTTTTTTCGAGCAATTTATGTTACTTCAAAAATTTCTTTTTGTCAGTGCTACCATGTACTTACAAAAACATCTCAGTCATTTTAATAAATACTCTTAAATAATCGAACTATATTAATATATTGCATCTAAGCAAATCGTGATCTTTAACTAAATTTATTTTGAAAATTAAAAAAAAAAAAAACATTTTTATTTTAGATCATGATGAAGGAGTTTCTGAATGACAATGATACTAATGTCGTAATAGTAGATTGGAGCAGAGGAAGTCAGCAACCCTACATACAAGCAGTTGCCAATGCAAGAGTTGTGGGTGCTGAAATAGCAAGAATGGTTAATGCTTTAAAGGTAAGTTGCACTCCATAGAATGGAATAATATCTTTGAAGTTAAAGCAGAAATGATGATTCAAAATGGAGGGGAAAAGCTTATGCTGGAAGTTTGGATCACCATTTCTAGAAAAACTTCGTTTGGATGAACACTTCTTCTTTCATGCTCAAAATATTACAAAAGAGGTCTTTTTTAAAAGAGATAACGGGAACTACTGTTTATATTACATTGATTAGAAACAATAGCGTTATCTATAGTGAAATGTATGTCACCAATGTTTCTAATCATTGGATATCCAATCAATGGTGGCATTCATGGATCGAACCCATCCATGAATAAGCACTAAATCGGTTTCTAATGAATTCTTAATTAATGGAAACGTATTAGTGAAAATGGATAAAATCATCTTGCTCGTGTAATTTTTTTGAGAATTTTCTTTTGACATCTAGGGCAATTATTCTACTTGCACAATGATACTTAAAGCAGCAATTTTTTCAAACAGCGTGGTTAATGGCAGTAAGTGGTGATTTCACATATGGCTAAAGTGGAGATTCTTAGCATTTTTTGTATAATTTAAATAAGTATCAGTTATGTAGGGAAAACATTCTTTTGCATGAAGCTTGGCGACGTATTCTTTGGCCAAGGTATGAGGTAAGTATTTGATAATTGTCATGAAACCAATTGGCATTCAGGTGAGCAAAAGTTCTTGTGTTTTCATTTCTAATAGTCTGTGGTATGTCAGTACAGAAATTAAAAAGCTTTTGAAACATCAGTAAGTATTTTGACTAGTAAGAAGCAGTTCATCAAGAAGTCAATAAAACTTGAGAGAAGAAAACTTAAAAGGCTTTTAAACACAAAAAATTCAACTTTTCTTTCATTTTTGTTACTCTTATATTTAAAGGGACAAGTTTTTAAGCCACCAATATTTGAATAAATTCCATATAATCTGTATGCTTTGAAAAAAAAGTTGATTTATCGTGCATTTACTGTTTACTTAATTTGAAATTCAAAGTTGTATTTTCCTTTAAGAAGCAGTTTAAAAGTGAATTTAGGTTATTTATCTGAATACAATGAATATTTAATATATGTAGCAAAATGTTACTGTATGTTTCCTAAGTTTTCATTTAATCAAAATAGCCCCACTTTTCATTATTAATGACTGCATGACAATAGTTATAATTTGATCTTATATTTTGAATATCACTCAGATTATGAGAGAATTCTCAGCTATAGTCAGCCAAGAAATAGCATATGTTGTGCTCCACAAACACTACCTTCTTTATTAGGTGGGCATTCTTTTGTGCTAACTACCACTTCAGTTAAAAACAAACTATATTCAACAATTTATTAAATGAATTTAATAGTTTTTTATCACTAATGTATTAGGGCTACTGAGCATGTTCTATTCCTTTAAAGATTGCGTCTTCGGAAAAAAAATATAGCTTTGTAATTCAAAACTCGACCTAGAAGACAAGCGAACTCCTGGATCAAGTATTGAGACAAATTAGCCTAAGTTGAGGGCGTTTTGGAGGAAAAATCCATTTCTGTTACTTCGAGAAGGAAACCTTGGTACAAATCGGGTGTGAAATTCTCATTGACCAGCAATCCTTGGAATTAAAATCCAGGTCACCTCATACGGAGGAGAGCACTCTATCCCTTAAACTACATAGGCTCATTCGCTTGTATCAAACAAATGTGTGCTACCACTTTTTCCAATTTTTTTTCGTATTTTAACCACTTTTTTGTGGCTAGAAATTAATGGATTAAACATGTTCAATAAACAAATGCATCGTTTCACGATTTACGAGATAACATATTTCCAAAGAATCGCTGTTAACACAACTAGGATTACGTATTCCCTTGAAGGTAACTGGTAAAATGGTAGAAATCACATATATCTCGGTGCGCTGCCGCGAAGCGCCATTAACTGATACATCTGTAGTAATAAATCGATGATGAAGAGTAGTGAACCCCCTCTCGATTGCTCTTTTGCTCAGCACCAAAAAATCGAGAGGGGGTTCATGTGACATGGACAAGGAAGAAATGTTGATTGGCATGGGGTATAATTAAATGAATGATTCTTAAATAAAATAAATTCCAGTTAGCAAAATGTCTGTGTTGACGATATTCTTTAGAATACCGTGATTATTTTTTGTGAATTTCACAGCATAAAGTAATATACCGTTTCCAATTTTTCGACATACTTCAAAACGATTTCAAAGGTAACTTACAATTAGCTCATTTTTAATAAAAAATATTGAAATTAGAAAGTGGTAAATAAATAATAAGAAAAATCTCAGAAGACTTAAACAATAACAGTAAAAAAATATAAAAAATTGAAGGGCGGATATAATATTTCGCCCACATATCTGCCGATTCTCCCGGATTTTCTGTAGGATTTTATTTTTATATTTAACGAGGTAGCAATTTTTTTGCATTCATGGTTGATTCCTGTTCTAAAAAATTTGATTTAATATACTTTTAACTACCACTAGATTTACATAGTTGCCAACTCTTCCGGTTTTCCCGGAAGATTTTATTTTCATATTTAAAGTGCTAGCGAAATTCATATTATTTCATTAAACTTTTTGAATTATAATAATAGTTTTAAATCTGTTTGATCACCACTACATATAAATAATTGCAACAAATATACAAAAGCCTATTAGTCCCCACGATGGCATACCTGCCAACTCTTTCGGCATATCTGCCAAGATTTTATTTTCATATTTATCGTGGTAGCTATACTCAGGTTATTCCAATTAACTTTTTGAATTATAATGATAATTATAAATGAGTCTGATCACCACTACATATAAATAATTACAATAAATATATAAAAGTATAATAATCCTTGAGCAAGCGAGTTTCAACGGGATCAAACTATAAATATATTTTTGAGTCAAATTGTTTTTCGTTTATTGTTTTACAACCACTCTGAAAATCCATTCTCGGAAAGAGTGAAAGTTGGCAGGTATGCGATAGCGAATTTCAACCTTATTAAAATATATTTTTGAGGAAGATAGTTTTTCGGTAATTGTTTTACTACCACTTGGAAAATCCATTCTCGAAAAGAGTGAATGTTGGCAGGTATGGATTTAAATAGTTTAAACATACATACAGAGGACCAGCTAGTTTTCTCATTGTAGGAGTTTTCTAGGAGGATTGTCTAGTTTTCTCACATCCTCACGCAAAAAGTGGCGACATTAAATACTTTGATGCATGTGAATAAAATTCTAAACTTCCTGTTAGAAATTTTTGTCACTTTGCTTGCAAAAGTAAATGAAGTATGAATTATTTGAAATGTAAGTTATAGGGGTAGTAACAATTGGATATTTACAAAGATAATAAATATATAACAGTGAATTGAGGTTCTACCACTTATTATGTTTTTAGTCACCTGTGGGGGGCCTCTCTGACCGAGCGGTATCGTCCGTCAAACACTGTGGAAAGATCGGAGGTAGCGGGTCCGAATCACGCTGTTACCCTGTATATATTTTCGTGCTGTCTTATTCTGTACTTGACGCCCGGTGGCTGAGTGGTAGCGCTTCGCGCTCCCGTGCCACAGGGCCTTGGTTTGATTCTCGGGCCGGGCGAGGTTGACTCAGCCTTTTATTCCTTCATTGGGTCGATAAATGAGTACCAAGCATGCTTGGGAACTAAACACGCTTTCGCGTTCATCTCACCACCTAACCGGATCGTCTGCTCCGGCCCCCCAGAGCCCAAGGTCAAGAAAACTGAGATGGGCACAGTAGGACTTGGCCCTCTATGGGCTGTCATGCCGCTGGGTTTAGTCTTTTTATTCTGTACTTTGCAATCTGTACTTTTACTTCGCAAAGATTTATAAGCCTGAATTGAGTTCACAAGCCTGCAAATGTATATGTTATTCCAATAAACCAATATCTTATTCTGTTTTAAGTGATAACGAAAGTTGAATTCAGAAGCTGATACCATATCACCTTAATAGCTGTTTCACTGCTACTGGAAAAAAGCTTTTTTGAAGCATGTAAAAGTTGGCAGGTATGCTTCAACAATAAAACAAGACACATTATACAGGGAAGCAAAATGTGCCTTTATTAAGAAAATGAAATTTACTTTTACATGTATACATCGGATGTAGTTTTGTGATATCGAGATCTTGTATCCACCTTAAACGCGTAAACGGCAGCAATTCATTTCTAACTTGAATTCCGCAAATGAACATACAGGATCAAAATAATGAAACACTTTGATACTAACTCTATGTAAACAGTTTTTCTTTCTGAGGCAAATGTTCAAGAAGATTTAACAGGGCAAAACTGTTGGTCTATTTTAAAAAATTCATGCATGAAGTTACAAAAATTGTGTCCTTTTTTACCATTCTAAATTTGCATTGTTCAAAATGAATCTAGGAAATTTAAAAGCTGATTTTCTTTTGAAATACCAATGCAATAAAAAAAAATTTTCTTACATAAATATTGCAATCCTTCAGACTGTTTAAAAAATTGCTGGTATTTAAACTAGAAATAAGTTAATTTCGAAAGCTTATTTTGGTCGGTCCGAACTTTGCGTGGGTAAAAATGACATTTCTTGATCTTTCAAATTGTGCCCACAGTTTTATCTCATAAAATCTTCCAAAACCTTTGTTTTTAAAGAATAGTTTTTATAAAGTTAGTATAGATGTGTTTTCATTATTTTGATCAAACTTTATAAGTGCAAGACTGTTTCTTACCGAAGAAAAAGTAACTTATAGTAAGCAGCTTATGATTAAGAATAAGATTTTTATAAATTGAAATTTCTTCCATTGGTAGCTAAGTTTATGTTTTAATGCATGATTATTTGTTTTGTAAATTTATTTGTAGGTAATTTTCCACAATACAGAAGTTAATATATTTAAAAAGTTCATATAAAATGGCCCTTCGTTCCAACTCTGTCATGAGACTCTTAAAATGTTCTTAAAATTACTTATTATTAAATTTACCAAATATTTTAAGGCTTTAGTTTTTATGTGTTTACCACTAAATAAGATAATTTCAAAAATCAAAGTAATTGGCAGCCTCGTAATGATTTTATCTTTAATTGGTTAAGAACGGAATTTAATTTCAGAAATCCCCCAATTAGGAGAAATATGTGCTTAAATCTTCGAAGATCGGCAAAACTGTGCTACGCTTTCACATGTAGTTAGTTACACGACAAAACACCACCTTTGAGTTGATTCATCTAAATAATGCTCCTTTAGTTGCGAATAAGGATTTTGTTATTATGGGTTTTTCATATTTAAATTGTTATTTGCATGTTTACCAAGTTGGGAATCCTATCAACCCACAATAATTTAAGTGGCTGCAACATAGCAATTAAGGCAAGCTTAATATGTTTAATTTAACAACATTATCATGTCCTGTATATTCGTGTTTATATATACGGTCCTTTTCAAAATAATCGAAAATTCAATTTAGTTCATTAAGAATAAAATGTAAGGAGCATACAATTTGCAAAAACTTTCCAGAAACAGAATATTTATTGTCATATATTTTATTTTCTTGTGTATAGATTCTTTTTTACTACATTTATGTCAAGTACTTTAAATTACTCCTTCTGTTCCAAATTAGTCGCTACTTTTGATTACTTTTGTACTAATTACTGAGACTGATCATTTTACGATTTTGTTTGAATATTTTTCAGAGATTTCATTGTTCTATGGTATCAATCATCATTTACTTACCAAGTATTCTCACCTTAAACAGAAAATTAGCATGCTCTTTAGCCATGACGCATTTTCTAAGTACTTTTCATTTTTGAATCACGAATTCATTAGTAATATATTTTTACTGGAGTCGATATAAATAACTGCTTTTATGTTTAACAATCTCTACTTTTACAATCCCTCCTGATTTTTTCTTTTAGCATTTCGGTAACTTAACAACATCGATGCTTCATTTAGTTGGCCATGGTTTAGGTGCTCATGTAGCTGGCTACGCGGGTCAAAGCATTCTTCCTATGGTTTCTCGAATAACTGGTAAGTTAAACTGATTTAACACTTTCTTATAAGTAAGAAACAATAAAAAGACGTAGGCCATATCCACACGACGTGATTGACCATAAAATGATAGCCTATTTTATTTGACTAGGTCAGAGATCTGACAGCCTGGAATTCTAATGATTTCTTTTAATAAGTTATATATAGTAATGGTCACAAGTATATAAAAACATGGCTTTTTTTAAAATTTTTTGCATCACTTTTCAAGATTGTTAAACACGAAAGATCCTTTATTGGCAATAAATCTACACTTTTAAAAAATTATTCAATAGCAGAAAATGGCAGAAATTATGACATTAACTATTGCAATGAATTGTACAACATAAATATAAACCAATCCCGTGGCAGAGTTTCCAACCAAAAAGTTCCAGCTCTTCATAACTTTTATAGTGAAAATAGCAAATGTTTTTAAATCTTTTCGAGCAAAATAAAATTGCACATCGTACTTTTCATATGGTTTATCTAATTTTATAGCTATATTTACACATAGTTTGGGGCAGAGGGAGTAAAACCTGAAATCTTGGAGACTGTGTATTCGGATTGAGTTGTACTTACAAGGTTTGGAAAAAATTATGCAAATGCTTCTACACTGACTCTATGTAAACAATCTTCTTTCCGTAGCAAATGTTTTGGAAGATTTTAGATGGCAAAACTGTTGGCCCAATTTGAAATAGCATCCTTGGAACTTTTAAAATTTATGTCATTTTTACCCAAAAGAAATTCGGATTTGATACTGATCAAATTTGAATTGAACTGATTTTTACTATAATTGGATTCTGAATTAATCATCTATTGCATACAATCTTCTTTGCAAACAATCTTCTTTCAGTAGAAAATGTTTTGGAAGATTTTAGATGGTAAAACTGTTGGCCCAATTTGAAATAGCATCCTTGGAGCTTTTAAAATTTATGTCATTTTTACCCATAAGAAATTCGAATTTGATACTGATCAAATTTAAATTGAATTAATTTTTACAATAATTTGATTCTGAATTAATCATCTATTGCATACAATCTTCTTTGAAAACAATCTTCTTTCAGTAGCAAATGTTTTGGAAGATTTTAGATGGTAAAACTGTTGACCCAATTGGAAATAGCATCCTTGGAGCTTTTAAAATTGATGTCATTTTTACCCATAAGAAATTCGGATTTGATTCTGATCAAATTTGAATTGAAATAATTCTTACACTAATCTGATTCTAAATTAATCATCTATTCCATACAAACCTGCGATTTAGGCAGACATTTTTCAGTTATTATATCTTAACCAGTAACTTTTTATTGTGTTAAAATTGCAATACAATAAATAGTGATGCATAGATATATGCTTTTTGTTTCATAGGATTGGATCCAGCATACAAATTTTTCTGCAATATGCCAGATAATGTTCGATTAGATAAAAGTGATGCTGATTTCGTGGATGTTATTCATACAGAGTTAAAGGACTATGATTTAGGTAATATATAATATTATGACAAAATTATATTGAGATTAATGTGTTGCATGAATATAAAGCATTGTATGTTATAATAAATTGTATTGAAAATAATAAGGTACAAAGGCCGTTATTCAACAGAAATGATCGATTTTCCTTTCAAATATTTAATACTTAGTGGTTACAAGGTCTTGTATTGAATGGAAACTCTTGGTTGAGAGCAGACATAATTAAATTGAGCATACAAACCTTGTGCGGCAATGTGTCTTAGTACTAAAAACACATTTAAGGTTAATTTGAGGAAACCTACTTCTTTAACCTATTCCCATTGAAGGTTGTGAAAATGCTAAATTTTGTAGTGGTATGAAAATATATTTTACAAAAAAGTGGGTGGGCATTTATTAATCAGTGAAAATAATATAAATCATATCAGCCAGCTTTTAATCACTCCAAGGGGGACTTTCCTAGTGGTAGTAATGTGTCAATTAAATCACAATTATAAACATAAATATTTTTAACATTAATCTTGAGCGTAAGCGCAGACACACCACTGACGTGGAGTAAAAGTTAAAATGCCTTAAAATTCGATGCACTAATCTAACAGCTAATAAAAATTAGCTAAGAAGAATAAGAAAGAAAACAGAGCTTATAGCATAAATCGTATAAAATAGTTTTTAAAAATATATTTGGTCGAAAAAATATGAAGCAAATTACATCTATCAAAAAAACTTTTCTATTAAAATATTTGGAAAATTTAAGTAGCAGCACCCCTAATAGGATTAAAAATTTAAGATAAATAATACCTGAAGTCAATTTAAAAAATAAAATTAAATCGCAAAAAAAAAAACCTTCTAAATAGGTAATTGCTGTAGAGTTTAAACCACAGACGTAAATTAAGAATAAACAATTTTATTGGTATTCCTTCTCTCATAGGGTGACTGTTTATAAATCAGACCCTGAAATCAGATAGAAATCAGATAGAAAGCCGTTTACAAACTGTATCATATATATATATATA